TCTCTCTCACACACACACACACATTGGGCTCCAGCCACTGGCTTCCACCACCAGGGAGCCTTGTAGCCTGGTCACCCTGTCTGTGACCCCTGACCCCAATGTCGTTTGGAGAAGCCAGGGTGGCCCTGACCTCCTTCTTCACCGTCTGCTGTCACAGCCCGCCAGTGCCACCACTGAGCGGGGACCACACGCTGTTCTGTTTGGAAGAAGGAGCATTAATACAAACAAAGGATCTTTTAACCCTGAAAACCTGTAATTAAGCTCTCATGTGCATGCCTGTTAAGAATGACATGATTACGTATTTGTGTGGAAAGGTGGTTGGTAACCACTGAAACTTTATTAACTTTGTCATCAAGCAGATAAGGGGCTCACCGTGCCCAGTGCTGCCCTCTGGGGCCAGGTGGGGGCAGGGCTTCCCCAAGGACGAGGACGGGGTCAAATCCAGAGCTGAAAGGGTCCTGGGAGACAGAGACCTGCGAGGAGTCAGCTAGAGGCAGCTCCAGCTGCTTGTCTCTTATGGACGATGGAGAGGCTGATGCCTCGAGAGTGGCAGAGACTGGCCAAGCCAGGGACAGGCCTGGGCTTTTGGATCTAGTGGTGGAAAGCTTGGGCAGGCTGCCAGTAGAAGTGGCACTGGGGTGCAGACTGCGTCCCAGCCCTGAGCTCGCTCAGCACTCACCATCTCCAACTGTGCTCGCCAAAGCACTGGGATGGGCACTGGCCCGATCTTGGGCAGCTTACTCTGCACCCCAGTGTCCCATCTGAAAAGAGCAGCATCTCCTCCACAGCCTCGTCACCCAAGTCTCCCATCTGAAAAGAGCATCTCCCCCACAGGGCTGTCACGTGATTGCACGTGATGTTACAGACTGCTGGCTCGGAAACAAGTCTTCCCTATTGGAGTTACTACCTGTGCTCCCCTTCTCCCCCCACCCCTCCCCAGTGTGAGTTCTTCCAGAAGGAGGTGAGAGCAGCTCAAGAATGTTTGGTGAGTAAATGTATTTGCTGCTCTGAGGCTGACACCAGGGCTGGAGTGGTGAGCAAATCACACCGGGCATGTGGCCTCACAGACCTGCCAGCTAGTGATGGGAAGAGGCATAACCAAAGAAAGTCACACGGTGGCCAAGTGCCGGTGAGGACATCACTGTACAACAGGGGCTCCTGATTCAGAAGACTTCTCCGAGGCATAAACAGGAGCCAACCAACAAGAGAAGCAAGGGAGGCCGGGGAAGTGCATGGGAAGATGCAAGGCAGGGAAGCATGTGCAAAGGCCCTGTGGCCAGAAGGAAAGCCCTGAGGCTGGAGAGGGCAGGCCACTGGAGGAAATGAAGGAATGGGCAGAACTCAGCACACTACCTGTACGTCACCCTAAGTGCAATGGGAAGCAGTCAGCATTTAAACCAAAGAGATTACACGATCAGCTTTGCATTTTAAAGAATCACTCTAGCTGTGGTTTGGGGATACTGAAGAGGGTAGGGGTGGAAGTGGGGAGGCCAACTAGGAAGCCATTATAGCTAGTGGTTCAGGTGAGAGACCTGGACCAAGGTGGGGATGAAGATAAATGAAGCAATGGCCTTGGGAGACAAAGTGGATAGAACAGCTGTGACTGTGGCCGGGACACAGAGGGTGAGGGAGAAAGAGGTGTCAGGGATGACTTCAGTGTAAGCTGCTGACTGGAGGCAGAACCTTCACGGAGATGAATGAACAAGAAAACCCCAGGGATTTGGCCAATGTCTGGGGTCAGAGTTAGCCATCTTTTTCTTTCCACATCATAATCTTGCAGAGGAAATGAGACTGGGTTCTACTAGGAGCCCCGGCGAGATCCCACATCTCTGGACCCGCCCAGGCCCACCCTACCCCACCTGACACCTGCAGAGTGAGTTGGGAAGGCCCCAGCTGTGGCAAGAGGCAAACACATCTGGCCCCGAAGGCAGAGTCCTGGGCTTCTCAGGAGACTGGATGAGTAATTCTGATAATTGAATTTTTGAGTTAGACTTAAAAAATGGCCAAGATTGAAGAGGCAATTTGGCAGGGTCAGGAGCCCCCAGGCAGGTTTCTCTCCTCCACGATGCTGAGAACTTATTAACAAGATCACTCTTCCTCCTTCCACAGCCCCCTTTACAAGTGGTTCTCAGGGCTGCGGGGCCGAGGAATTCAATTGTGGGTCTCTGGGCCCCTGCTCTGGTCACCCAGAGACATTTTGTTGAAAAGGGTAGTGAGGAGACTTTGGTTTGTAATATAGGGTAGGACTGCTGTTTGGGGAATAGAGAGCACTCGGGGAGACGGAATAACCCAGAGGACAGACAACATAGAAAACAGGTCATGACAGACTCGGTTCAAATCCTGGCTCCAGCACTTACTCGGGCAGGGTGGGACTTTTTTCCTGCCCAGGGCCATTTGGATATTTATAGCATCATTCGCAGGCCATACAAAATTATCAGCTTAAAAATTAGCCTGCTATATTTGGTCAAACATTTAATTATCTCACCCTTAATGCCTTGGCAGGGCCAGACCAAATGATTTCTGGGCCTTGTAAGGCCCGATGGTCGGACATCCCCCACCCCTGTACTAAGGTGATTCCATCCGTTTTCTCGTTTGTAAAATGAACAGGATGGTGCAAATTCACTAATGAGAGGACGCACAGTGTGGCTACTGCTAGGCAGGTGGGCGCCAGCCTGCAGGAGCAAGGATTTTACACTTTGGACCGATGCCAGGGACGTGGGCAAGTGGGCCAAGGTGGACGCGCAGGCCTGTGCCTCCCTCCTCCTGTGTATTTGACTTTGCAGCTGCCCCTCTCAGGTGCAGGTGCAGCTCCAGTCCGAGGACATAGGTGGTGATTAATTTCACCAACGGGAAACCGATGCATTTTCAGATTAAGGCTTCAGAGCCTCCTGAATTCAGCTGCTGGTGAAATTAACTCACCAGGGACAATGGAGCCTGTTCTAAAGTCCAAATTGTCCTTATTTGCGGAGTTTGCTCTTGGCCCCAATCCAGCCCAAACCGGGCTGCTCCTCCACCTCCCAGAGGGAGGGCCTCCACTAGCCCAAGGTTGGGAATAGTTTGCATGATTCTAGGGGCGAGAGGGGGAATACACTTTGCCTTGGATGACTGTGTTCCTGAAAGGCTGTGGGTGGCTGAGGCGAGTGGCTGGCCGGACTCCCAGAGCCCCTCCTCCCCAGGGCCTCCTCTCAGGCAACCACATGGGCCGGGAATGTGCCAGAAAAGTGTATCTGCCCTCATAACCCTTCCGCTCATGCCCTTGCCAACGACCAAGCCCAGCTCCCGGGCCTGTGCACTGACCACATGCCAGGCAATATACACACAATTGCCCCTGTACGTACATCTGAACCTGCGTCTGACCTCTAAGCCCCACCTGAGTTCTAACCTTTGTCCTGTCCGCCCCCCTCAACACTTACACACCTGCATTTGTGCTCACCAACCACTTGTAACTTAAAATAGTGCTTTGAAAGCGTCCTAGAGACCAAGCACTGAGACACTGAATGAGGGTCATTACTTTTAGGAAAGGGCTCGGTTGGCTACTTTCAAATCTTGAGGCTCCCACACTGTGATCACACTGGGCAGAAGGGAGGTTGCCACTTACAGACGTAGAGACTGGTGACAGGGCTGTGACTTGGGACTATGAGCCAGGCCTCCTGCTCCCTCCACAGAACCACACAGAGCTGTCCCGGCCACAGATCAGAGCTCCCGCTAAGGAATCCAGTTGTGTGACTTCTTGGAAAAGGAGCTGCCACGTTACTTTATGCCTGAACCTGAGTTCTCACACGCTGGATGTACTAAGGTACACCTGTGCAAACACTTCTCATGAGAGCTCAGATGGCAGGAACCCAAGCAGAGAGGGTCCTTCCTGCTCACCCGCCCCGCCCCTCACCTGATGGGAAACAGGCAGAGAAGTGGGGGCCCAGGCCAGAATGAGGCCGGCTCCCCGATTCCCAGCCTGGCTCCTGCTCCTCCATCCCTGTGCCTGCAACCGATGCAATCACATCACCTCGTCACCGTCGTGTCCGGGGAGCTGCAGGGGCAGCAGCAGAGAGCACAGGAGGGATCATGCCCAGCTTCACCTGGAAGGTACGAGCCTTGGACAAGTCGCTTGGCTGTGCTGGGAAGACTGGCCCGATCTTGACCGCCCGCCACTCCACCACTGAGGTCATGGACTAAGGACGGTACTGAACTGAGTGATGGAGCCGAAACATCACTCGGCCACCCCACCGGGGAGGGCTTTGGAAGGCACCGAGGTGGTGGGCAGGGCTGCGGGGCAGAAAAGCAGAGCGGCTGTTAGCACCGCTCAGGGCCAAATGGCCAGTCTGGAGGCTCACCTGCCCCACCCTGTGTATGTCTCAGGTACATTACGAAGCTCAGGGCAAAGGTGGAGGACAATTTAACAGGAAAGCCAGTGACAGGGCTATAGCAGATGCCGCAGGCAGTGGGGTTGAAAGACCAGGGTCACTGTGGGGACACTGCACTGCCAAGTCCCCACCACAACCCCCTGGTCAGTTCCAGTGGGAACGGCACCACCTCAGCGGGCTACTCGAGGGTGTCTCTGTGCATCGCCGAGTCCATGCCAGGTGCAGGCACCAGGTGCAGGTGCCCCGGCCATGCCATGTGGCATCATTCCTCTCTGGACACCTGGCTGGAATCGGCAGAGAGCTTAGCAACATCTGAGGGCCACTCCTGAACCCAGCCTGTCCCCCTTGGGTGTGGGGGACCTGGGCTTTGAGCTCCACACACAGTCACCGCATCACCAAGTTGAAACGAATCATTTCATGTGAACCGTCACCCTGCAGGGCTGGCTGAGCACTAAGTGAATCGGGTGGCACAGGGCACAGGGACGCCCGGACGCCGAGGCCTGCACAGCATGGGAACCTTGTTTGACAACAACCCCTAAACCAACTTCAGGACAGAAAACATTAAAAGGAAAAACAGATTTCCTTTGAGCAGACAGCTCTTTTCCTCGGTAAGTAGGAACCACGCCTGTGACAAGGAGACTGTGGGAACCGCAAGCTTTATTGTCTGCATGCTCTCAGGAGCCCGGCCTGCTGGGGCTGCACGGTCCTGGGTGGGCGCCCCCAGGCCTCAGCTGGAAGAGAGGAAAACAGGAGAAGCTTAGGAGCGAAGGAGGGTGTCCGAGGGAACAGAGTTAACGGGACAGAGTTAACGGGAACCCTGTGATGCTGAAACTACCAAATGACAACGCGATCGTATTTACAAACATTCATTCAAAAACTACTTCCCAAGCGCCCACTGTGCGCCAGGCACGAGGCACTGTCTCTCCCTGGTGAAAACCGCAGCCAGTTGGTAATCAGAGCCACTGAGGCCGCGGCAGATGAGAGGCAAGTCCTGTGCTCCTGTGTGTGGAGGGCACGTGCCCTGGTTCACCTTCGTTGTTCAGAGGTCACTGCCTGCCCTGCCCCGCCCGCCCACCTGGCTTTCCGCGGGAGGAGCTGCAGGGCGTTACCTCCAGGTTTCCTCGGGCCTTCCGAAGGACCTTGTGGGTGATGAGCACTGCGGAGAGAGCGGAGAACGGGAGGGTTAGGTTCAGGGAGGAGCCCTCTGAACCCCAAATAGTTCAGACAAGCCTGAGCGCCCAGGCCAGAGAGAGGTGTGAAGGTGATACCCCGGACCAAATAATCATCAGAGAGGGTGGACCAGACACCTGTTCAAGATACCGTGCTGAGCCCCAACCTCACAGCGACACGGAGGTGGAGCAGAGGTGCCATGCCTCGTTCCAGACAAAACCAAGGCTCCGAAAGGCCAGCTGATGCTCAGGTACGCCCAGGGCTCACCTCCACAGGCCCAGGAGGGGCCAGGGCAGGGCAGCATCCTGCATCCTGACTAGCATCCTGCATACCCTGGCTTCTGGAAGGGGGTGTGCCCACTGAAGCAAGCCCCTGTGTGAAGGCCAAGCCCAGGGTGGAGGGCAATTTTGTAGTCAAACGTGTACCAGCAGCACCGAGCAGGCGCCAATGACCAGGGAGGAAGAGCGCTGGCACTTTCCCTCCTGAGCTGCCCTGTAGCTGGCAGAGGAACCCGACGTGGTTCCCTGAGCAAGTCACGCTCTGCCAGGACAGGAGGGGTGGGTGGGACGGCTGCAGAGGTGCCCCCAGACCCAGCACTGAGCTGTGTATGGGCAGACTTCAGAGGTGCCCTCGCCCATCCCGGGCTCCAACCCAGGGAGTTCTACCCTGGGTCCAGGGGTGTGCTTTGGAATGGCCCAAATCCCCAGAAACTAAGTGTAGATCTTGACATGTGTGTGGACAGATGCATCTTTCTGGAGAGAGATCATACCTCTCCTGAGAGTCACCAACAAGTAAGTGTCACGGCCCTGGAGGTTAAAATAAGGTCGTGATGTTGAAGAACAAGACTCCCCGGGGACGAGCTGAGGCTCGCCGGGAAGGGACTCCCACATCTGAACAGCACTGCCCACCTCCCGGAGCGCGGAAATCTCGCTGCATCAGAAGCCCAGGACAGAGCGGTAAGGGCGCGGCCCAAGTCCAGACTCCCAGTGTGAGGACGGACTGGAGCCAGGCCTGTTACTCGCAACAGGGCTCCTCTGCATCAGCAGAGGCTGGCAAGAAGACGCCAACCCCAGCGGTGTCTCGCTGGTGACAACTGTGACCTGGTGAATACACCAACCCTGAGCAGCAGGGACTCCTGTCTCAGAGGCTGGGAGGGAAGTGGGTGACTCCAGGTGACATGGCGAGGGAGTGGTGGGGTCCTGGGGTCTCACGGTGACCCCCCTCCTTCCTTTCCCCTGTAGACTCTGGGAGGAGATGTAGTGCTCAGCATCCCGGCAGGGACCACCTTGGGCCTCGCTCCTCCAGTCGCCATGGGGAGAAGGGGCAGGAGGGGACACTTGCACACAGCCACTCACAGCCAGAAGCAGCCCTGCAGGGCTGGCAGGGTTTGAGCCACTTCCAAGGACCCGATTCGTCGGGATGAGCTGCCGAGCCTGGCCAGGGGCAGCCACAGTCCAGGGCCTGCCACCAGTGGTGTGGACTCAGGCAAGCCCCTCCCCCGGCACTGAGCTGAGCCCCCGCTGTGCCAGGCCTTGGAGACAGAGATGGGGGACACCACCTTAGCATGGGAGCTACCATGACACACTTAGGTTTTTCACACTATTAATGGTTCACCACCCCCATACATGGGATACAGTCCGACCTACTGGAAAGAGAGGCAGAGAACTAACGTTTGTTGAGCTTCTGCTCTATCCAGAAAGAGTATAATGAAGTTTAGGCATTGTTACCATCGATGCGATAGATGAGGAAACCGAAGCACTTTTATAAAGTTGTGTTTAGAACTTGGGCCATCTGGCCAGTCTGAGTCCTTTGGTGTAATTGTCTCCAATCAGAGATGATGAGTCTGAAGTTCAGAGAGTTAAAGCCACATACCCCAGGTCACACAGGAGAGCGGAGACCTAGCCTGTGCTTACTAGTGATTCCAGGCACCGACCTTGGACGTGGGGGCTGGATCTGCCCTTTGGGTCTGCACGGTCACTCACCGTGCACCTACTGCCCACTTCCAAGATCCCCTCGCCTGCAGCAGGGCTGACCTGATGTGCCCTGTGACTGCTCAGGGCTGCCGAGGAGAGATGCCCATAGGGCGAGTTCCGACTTTGCCTGGACTTGGGGGCCGAACAGAAGCACCTCTTCCTGCCCCGCCCCCTTGCTGCTCCAGCAGGCCCACCTCAGACAAAACCACACTGGCACCGTCCCCCCAGGTCCCCTCCAGCGCTCCTTTTCTCTACCAGTGACATGAACCCTGGGCCAGAACCTCACAGACACCCACCACTACCAGGGCTACTGCCTTAATCTTTCAAAGCCACCCCCTCTCCTCCATGGCCCTGTGCCAGCCCCATCAGGCCTCTCCACTGCCTGCCTGGGCGACTGCCACGGCCCCGGAAGAGGTGTCCCCACTTCCAGCCCCTCCATGCTCAGCCACGGACCTTCCCACACACAGTGAACCAGTCAGTCCCTGCTGCTCATTCTGAGTCCGGCCCACAAGGCCCTTTGTGACAAGACCCAACTGGTCCAGAGCCTTGAAGCCCCTCTCAGGCTGCCTGGGATGCAGGTCCCTCATTCTGCAGCTCATTTCTGTGTCTCCCCATTCAGGCAAAGCTCCACCTGGCAAGAACTGTCTCACTCACTGCTGTCCCCGAGCCTGGCACGGGGCATGGAGCAGGAACTGGTGCTGGCTAGCGACTAAGCAGCTCTCTCCTGCAGTTCAGTCTCACCGTCTGTTTTCAGAAAGCTCCCACGGGCTAAGGAGAACTCTTATGTGACAATAATCCATGTCCTGTGCTTCTCAGAAATGCCCCAGAAATGCTGGCCTGTGATAAGAGAGTGCACAGGCAGCGAGGACAGGAAAGTGCCATGGTCAGCAGTTCTGCTAAGACAGGGCGGTGACAGGCAGACAGCCTGGCACACCGGAAGGAACTCGGGGGCGGCTCCCAATAACCTGAAGCTCCCAGGTGGGGGCTGGGGCTGACCTCACAAAGTGGTTTTACCTCTGTGACCTTGACCTTGTATCTGTCTCAAAAATTGGTTCTCAACCCCATCCCTGCCTCTGGATGCCCATTGCCCGGCACAGGCGTCCTTCTCGTCTGCCTGGCTCCTCCTCACCAGCCTGCCCTGCACACAGATGTGACAGGGCCATGCTCTGCTCTGAATGTGAGACACCTGAGCCTGCCACCTAAGGCAGTAATGGCGAACCTTTTGAGCTCAGTGTGTCAGCATTTTGAAAAACCCTAACTTAACTCTGATGCCGTCATAGTAAAAAAATTTTTTGATATTTGCAACCATAGTAAAACAAAGACTTATATTTTTTATATTTATTTTATATATTTAAATGCCATTTAACAAAGAAAATCAACCAAAACAAATGAGTTCGCGTGTCACCTCTGACACGCATGTCATAGGTTCGCCATCACTGACCCAAGGCCTTTGGCAACACAGTCTTGGTCCCCCTGACCCCTCCTGCCTCAACTGGCCACTTACAGCTCTTAGTCCAGCAACATGATGTGCTGGTGGTTTCTCACATACAAAGCCTTCTTCTTTCCTCCCTGCCTTTGTCTACACGGTTCCGTTTCTACCTGACCAATGCCTACTCCTCCTTGCAGACTCAGCTCCCAGGGCATGGTGGCACCCGCTCCACTCCCACCTCAGTGCTCCCTAGGACCCCGCACATGTCCCTATCAAAGCACATGCCACACACCGCCTCACAGTGAGGTGACTGTCCCTGGCACAGAGTGCCTCTCCACAGTCTGTGGGGTGAATGCATTTGTCTGTGTGAGTCAGGAAGGATGAAATATGAAAGGAAACCCACAAATAGGAGGTGTGATGACAAACGGTCTGGCCTCCAAAGAGGGTGGTCCAGGGCTGGCTTTTTAGTCCCCAGAGGCAGGAAGTGGACATGGCGCCGCCCCCGACCGTTCACTTACACTGATCAAAGATGACTTTTTCCTGGTGTTTGCTCAGCTGCAAAAGCTTCATGGTGTGTTGCAACTTCTTTTCTTGATCAAATAATTTTTTGTTCAGTTTGGTGATCTCAGCCTTCATTTCTCCAGTCTAAAGAGGAGAGCCATTGGAAAAATGAACACAGGGTATCCAACATCATATCACATGGGCAGAGTTACAAAACCACATATAAAGATGCTCCACCTCACCTACAAAGGTATTCGATAAAAACTAGAAGCCCTTTTCTGTGGTCAGGTTGGCAAAAACAGGCCAAACCCAGCGAAGGTGAGGTGTGGGGAAGCACGCCGAGGGGCTGTGCCCAGGTGGAACAATGACCTGGCAAGATTTGCCAAATTATAAAACGTGCTTACCCCTCTGAGCCAGCAATTCTACCCTTTGGCATTTACCCACAAGGAGTAATATAAGCACAAGAAGATGCCTGTGTTCAGAGATGTTCATCTCAGCATTGTTCATAGCAGGAAAAAACAAACTGATTGGTAGGGTCTAGAGATAATAAATCATGGTGCTCACACACAGCGGAATAATTCTGCAGCTATTAAAAATGATGTTGTAGAACTCTACTTATTGACATTGAAAGATGATAGTAATTAGTGACAAAGAGCCCAGAACAGCTATTGTATATTAGGCATTCCTGTTCCATAAAACCGATTACATACATCTACATTCACAGATGGGTACATCAAGACGTCTACAAAAATACTGGTGACATAGAAATGTCATCAAAATGTCAATAACGATTATCCCCGAGAAATGTGATTTGGAATGTTTTGTTTCATTTTAAAAATTTATCAGAATTGATTGACTTTTTAAACAAAAACTACAATGCTAATTTTTTAAAAATGTAATGCTTAAATCTTAAAAAGAGACATGAAAGTATTATTAGGAGAGCCTGACCCATTAGGGCACCTATCTGGATTTTTCAGAGGTGAAGGGCCGTCCTCTGAAGGGAACAGGGCACACCACGCAGGCCCTCTTAGCGAGCCTCCACCTGGCTCGTGCAGAGTGTTAGCACACCCCCTTCCTCCTAAAACCCCGGCTGTAAGGTGCCCTGGCACAGACCACTCTCCCCTACATCGAGACACCTCTGTCCCCAAGAGGTGTCCCCAAGAGGGGAAACGCTGGGCTCTTAGCTTATAGAGTCACTTTAGTTCGTTTCCAACTTATTTATGGCAGTTTTACTGTAATCAGTTACAGCAGGTCCTCGAATAAGGTCGTTTTCATTCAACATCATTTCCTTATTACGTTGATGAGATGCCGCAGGCACTTAACCCTTGTTGTATCAATTAGTCCCTGGTAAAATGGATTTCCTTATATGTCATTTCGCTTAAAAGTCACAGAACCTATTGATGACGTTAAGCGAGGACTTACTGTGTGTGGTTTAATTAAGTGTTAAGTAACCCTGTGAAATATGTGTGTGAAAAGACCTGGTTGTATGAAAACTACTTCAGGAAAGACTTGGTAAAGGCAACTCACTAAAAACCCATTTCTGGCAAATGAGGTGTGGGTGCATCAACTGTAAAAGTTGTGGGAGGAACATGGTCTAGATGAATTCTACATTCAAACTGCTTTTCATGTGTCTACATTTTTTCTTCATCTTAAAGAAACAGAAATTGGAAGTGACAGACATACATTATGGATGTAATTTATGAAAGAAAGGAAATGTAGAACTCCGAACAGCAGACCCATATTCAAAGGAAAGGCTCTGGCCCTACATCAAAAGAATGGCAAATGAACGTACATTTAACTGTTTTAAGTTAACCTAAAATGTTTAAGGTATGTATCATTTTTTGATTCCCTGCTTTAACCTACTTTTATGATTAAACAACTGTGTCAGCTACAAGGACTTCAACTGTTCTTCCAAAACATTCTAATTTAAATATTAGCTTTTCTTTGATTCTCTTCCTCATGCTAAGAGCCCACAACGACCCGTGTTCTGGTCACGGCTTCAAGGGCCACACCTTTCAGGACAGTCATTCTATCCATATTCAGAGCCTCAGTTCCTCCCACGTCTGTAAAATAGGGAGGATCCCCACCCCATCCATCTAGAACCCATCCATCACACTGCAATAGAGAGCCTCATTGAGGCGCTGCCAGGAGACAGGAGGACTGCTTCACCCCTGCCTGGCCAGCCCCTTTCTCTTCCTAAAGTCAACTCAGGCATCACCTCCTCCAGGGAGCTTTCCCTGAGACTCTCCCCAGGAGTCTAGGCTGGTTTCTGCTCCTTTGGGTGCCCACCGTGCCCGGTGCTTCCCTTCACATTTTAATGCTTAGATCTTAGAAAGGGATATGAAAGTATTAGGAGAGTCTGACCCACTGGGCACCATCCTGACTTTTCAGAGGTGAGGAGAGCAGGGACATTGTTTGCTTCCCCCCTGGACCAGCTCGCTGAGGGCAGAACTCACTTCTTCCTGACCATCAGCGCCTGGCCCAGAGGACCATCCGCCAAGTGGGGGTTAATTTCACCTGCACTCTCAAACACTCGGTACATATTCTACCCAGCACTTAAAATACAGAATTCAGATAGTGCCTGCTGTTCCTCCCATCTAAAATCTTCATTTTTATAGGATAAATACACCTTGGTAAACAGCAGGGGTCCAAAGCCCAGCTCAGTCCCTTCCAGATGGTGATGGAGCAAGGGGGCTTCAGTCTTTACTTCCAGATAATGGAAATAATCCCTCACTTTCTAAAGTCTACTGCGAGGGATGAAGTGAGATGCCGAGTGTAGAGCAGAGAGCCTGCCACAGAGCAACCCTTCCCCAAGGCCACCAGGCTGAGCTGGCCGCCAACACCACACCCTCCTAGGGGGCCTCAGACTTACTCCTGAGCGCCCACCTGGCTGCGGGGCCGGGATGGTTCTGTTGTGTCGTGTTTGCTTTCTTTTTCATGATGAAAATTCTCAAACATTGACAAAAGTAGAAAGAATAGGACAATGAAGCACCAATGTTCCCTCCCAGCTTCCGTCATTATCAAATCATGGCCAACACTGTGTCACCCTGCCCATCCTCACCCTAAAGTTGTTTCTAAAATCAATCCTAGGAGCCGATCATATTTCATCCATAAAATATTTTGGTTTATAGCTTTAGAAGAAAAAGATTCTTTAGGAAAACACAATATAATTACCACATCTAAAGCAGTGACAATAACTGCCTCCTATTACTAAACATGCCAGTAGACACATTTCCCTGATTGCATCATAATTTTATTTTTTGAATAACTGGTTTGATTCTAATTAAATTGGAATACAAATAAACACATTTTGCATTTTACTGATGTGTCTCTTAAATTTCTTTTACTCCAGTGGTTCTCACAGCAACAGGACCTGTGAAAACAGAACGCGAGAGCGCACACCCAGACTTTCTGATTCAGAGGCTCTGGGACGAGGCCCCCAAGTTTGCCTTTGCACCTGGTTTCCAGATGTGCTCATGCTGCTCAAGAACCCACACTTTACGAATCACCACAAACCTGCAACCTTCACTCCCCCTCCTCGTTTTTCCTAGGGTGAGAAGATGTTCTAAGCTCATCTTGCACATTTCCTGCCCCAGACCTAGACTCAAGCCCTTTCTCCAAGGACTCCTAGTTCCTAGCAGTAGGAAAGGTACTTAGAAACCACAATCTGGCACTAGAGGTGCTCGCTGGTTCTGTTTTGGACACTCTTAAAGCCTTTTAATTAGAGAGAACTATAGCAAATACACATGAGTCCATACTGATATTTCCAATTTAAATTATGGATTGCAGGATTTTTACTTCTTTGATTTTTATTTTATTTAATCTCTTCCCTGACAGTAAAAAACTCAACATAGTTATTTGTTTTATCCTATAATAGAAATATAATAGTTTTATAACATCAATATCAATATTATTACTAATAACTTGATCAATGAGAACAGTTTAAAACTTTTTGCAGTTCTTTCCGTGCAGCCAAATTGCTGTTTTAGTCACTGAAGTGTTTCCTCTCTGTGTGATCATGCCTTCAGTACTATAGACACTAAGGTTTGTTGGTTTCATCTTCCTATGAATTCTTAGAAACTGCTTTTTTCTCATTTTGATTTACCTTTATTTATAATTATGTAAAGCATTTATACAGTTTCAAAGTCAGATTTACAAAACAAGTTCTATTCAGAGAAAGTTACCTTCTATCCTGCCCATCCATCCTCTTCCTTCCCACCCCCTACAAGTAACCTGTTATTATTTATCCATTAAAATTTTTTTATAAATAGATATATGTATATATTTGTACCCCTCCTCACAACTTTCTTAGACAAACTGAAGTATATGATCACACTTTCCAGAGCAGTCCTGGAACTGCAGAGGATGATGTATTAAATGCAAAAGGCAAATTAATGACACTCAGAGAAAACACCAGGTAGTAAAAAGCCATTGGGGTTGCTGGTGACAACTTGGAAATCTGATTTACACACATTTCACACCAAGAAAAAGGCACTGTACGAAACATGGACAGGGACAGAAAAGTGGCTGGAGGCAATTTAACACTACACAGGGGGTCTGCGTACACCAGCAACCATATTGGAGCATCTCCAAGGTCCTTTTTGTGGTTCTAAAATTCTATGATGCTAAAGTGAGCATCATCAATTCCCGGAGAAAGACTCGGAAAGATGGGGCGAATCATCACAAGTGCTGATCAGTCCCTAGACTGATTTGCTAGTGGGGAGATCAATGTGAGCATAGTTTATCTTCACACACGCGCGCGGAACAAGGACTGCATTCTATTTCACAGGCATTACCATGTACTGAGGACAAAAATGTTGCATTGAGGGTAAACTGTTTCAGACACGTTATGCTCTAAAATCATATGGGCAAATACTAGTTTGATAGTATGAGAGAAAATTATTCATTCGTTTAAAAATATGAACAACTTAGACTTTGTCCCTCGTGGAAAAGAGCAGGAGGCAGTCATTAAACAAATGAATATGTAATTATAATTTGTGATAAGGGCTATAATGAAACGAAAGCTATGCTGAGTGAACAGGGAGCCCTTTCTGACCTTGACGTAACATTTAAGCGGAGATGGGAGAGGTGAGGAGCCAGCAGCTGGGAGGGAGGCAGGGTTAGGAGGCAGAGCATCTGTGTCTAAGCCTCAGAGGGAAGAGAGCACAATGGGTTAGAAGAAAAGGAAAGGTCAAAGGGGGCCTGGAACCCAATGGGCCTTCTTCCCTCCAACATTCCATCTTCCACTCGGGCCCCGCCAGCTACAAGAGGGCAAAGCAGGATTTCCTGCACCAGGACTGGTTCCCACGCTCAGTGCACCCAAACTTCCCACCAGGGTCCCAAGAGGGAAGTCTTAGGACAGGCTCCACAGACCCTTCAAGCAGCTTCACCGCCACTTCTGACAGACCCGAGAGCCATCAAAGGGGCTTAATTAGACACGTATTGACATGGATTGTAAAATTCCCTCTGCCTTCCTGCTGCCTTCGGCAAGAATGTATAGGTTAGACAAGTACAGGGGGACACATCTCTCAGGCCACCAGGCAGAGTTCTAATGCCTCCTCAACCTGCGCACCCCTGCTTCCAGGAGGTTTCTCTGGTCAGCAGAGTGGGCGCTCACCTGTCGCAACACGTTTCCCACAGACAAAACCCTGGGACCACTTCTGCCCACCTGACTCCTGAGTAGTGCCCATGAGACATGAGATGAGGATGGGCGTGGGATCAACAGTTCTTAATTTAGTCACATTCAAGTGTCTATAAAGTTGAGCTTTTAAGGGAAGTGTCAATGGTTTCATAGTAAACTAGAGGCCCAGTGCACAAAACCACGTGAGACCCCAGACCCGCCGTGCTGCGAGACCCATCAATGCACCTCCTGGTGACCGGTCGTTTGGTCATTATGGCATTACGGCCACTGGCCTTTTATAATATAGATGATTTTCACTGATTCAAAAGAGCAGTTCCTAAATCAGTGGTTCTCAACCTTCCTAATGCCACGACCCTTTAATACAGTTCCTCATGTTGTGGTGACCCCCAACCATAAAATTATTTTCGTTGCTACTTCATAACTGTAATTTTGCTACTGTTATGAATCATAATGTAAATATCTGATATGCAGGATGTATTTTCATTGTTATAAATTGAACATAATTAAAGCATAGTGATTAATCACAAAAACAATATGTAATTATATATGTGTTTTCTGATGGTCTTAGGTGACCCCTGTGAAAGGGTCGTTCGACCCCCAAAGGGATCGCGACCCACAGGTTGAGAACCGCTGTCCTAAATGGTTAAAACAAACTTGAATACGGCCAACTTAATACAATGCTGAAAACTAACAAAGGCACCAGCAGGCCCAGAAGAGGCATCTGAACTGAAAGACTCTTAGAAGAAGGGAAGGAGCTGGGCCACGGATCAAGCTGGGACCTACAGCCCATAAAACAAGTTCATCCTTTGGATTCAGACACTTGTGCTTTCAAACCAGCTCTGTAACCTTGAGTATGGGCCTCACTCCCCGAGCCTGTTTCCTCATGTGTATGATGCAAACAGCATCTCCCTCAACAAATATGTCCTGGGAGTGAGGACAGGGCCGGGTTAGGGCAGCAGGGTGGTGGTGGATGAGGAACACACTGGGAGCACCAGCTCGGTGCCTGGCACAATGCCTTCCCCGCCCTCTGACAGTCCCCACACTGAGCGCCCAACTGCTGTGAGCCAGGTCCTGGTGGGACGTGCTGGAGACTGGGACACACCTGTAGTGGCACCCCTGAGCCTCTGCATCCTGTGTCACCACCCACCTGTTCACAGTGGAGTGTGCACTGGCCATCCGTGGGGAGTGAGACTCTCCAGAGAAGCGTCAGTAACCTCGCGGCCTCTTCCAGGATCAGCTTGGCTCTGCTCACGCTGGTGACAAACCTGCTCAGAGGCGCCGGGTGGAGACCCTGCATGGGGGGATGAGAAGGTTGTTACATGCAGCCTTGAAAAAGATTATGGACAAGCCAGCTTTAATGGACGGCATAAATCTCCAGACCGCAGGGCTCACACTCCACATGCTGAGCAAGAGCCTGGTGCCAGACGACACCAATTTATCGTTCTTAAAGACGGGTGAATTATAGATTATGAGAGAATTCGGTGGTGAATTTAGCCCAATCAATAACCATGATTAATAACCACCTGCATTAACTATATTTACTATTCCAAGAAGAGGGTGCATGGTCGGACCACTCTCACTGCCTCTCGGGAAGGCAAATGACGCCAACAGCACGTAATGCAACACGAACACTCCTGCCTCAGCCACCCGCTGAACGGCTCTGCTTGCTGCCAGTGCAGTCTCTCACCCTCTCTGCTGGCAGAAGCAAACTCAAACTGGGGGATGACGAGGGCATGGGAAAGCAAAGAACATGAATCAGGAGGGGAAAACAAAATAAATTTAAAAACAAATTGAAAGGGCACTGTCTTCACTATCAAATAAATGTAAAATAAAACACCACACTCCCCTTTTAGCTATCAAATTGGCAAAAAAAGGACACAAACTTATAAATAAAAACACTCAGTGCAGACAAAGGTGCAGTGAGATAGCAATAATTTTGGAAAGTGATGTAGCAAGAGATACCACAAGAGTTCACAGCCTTCGAACAGGTAATTCCACGTTGGGAAGTTCATCCCTAAGGAACCAGTCAAAGACATGACCAGAGACCTATTTATAAGGATCATCACAGCTGAGATACCCATCAGCCAGCTGTAAGAGTAAATCAATGGTGGTACACCCAAAGGTTAGCTTATTTTTCAGCCATTAAAAGTCAAGTTCTAGAAATTACACTGAATGAGATAGGAAAAATGTTAGTATAATGTGAACTGAAAGTCAAAATACAAAATTCATATGTGCTGGAGTCAGTTTAATTAAGCTTTATGAATGAACTAAAAGTATATTTATCAAAATTTCAAGTGTTAAGCACCATGTGGTATTTTTATGTTTTCCTTTTATGCTTTTCTAGTTTCTAATTTTTACAAAATTTATAATCAGAAAAGAATAACCTTATTAAGATTGATTAATTCATTCAACAAATATTTGCCACGCAGCTATGCCATGCCAGGCCGAGCTAGGGAATGGGTAACAGTGTTGGGCAAAGCAGACACTACCCGCTCTCCTGGAGCTCATTATCTAGTGAAACGTAAGACGCGAAGCTGACTTTTACAATATGGTAGTAAAACAAAACGAAACTAAAAGGCAAAAAGGTATCAGAAAGCAGGGGGCTCCAATGTCCGCAGTAAGGACCTGAGAAGAGGGACTAGAAATGTGACCCACGGAAGCTGGGTCCAGTCTGGGAGGACTGAAGGACGGGAGGATGGCCGGAAGACTGGACAGACAGAAGCAGTCCTAGGGCAGGTCCCAGTAAGCGATGGCAATAATGCAGGGCACCAGCCTCGGCAAGTGTCCCTCCCACAGAAAACAACAGAAGCCCCCAAGGGGACCTGACCTCTCAGCTCGCGTGGTTACACTTCCAAGTTCCTCGTCCCAGGGCCTCAGTGAGGTCACGTGTGCCCCTTGCCTTCCAGCGCCCTCAGCCGACACGTCCATGCCTGCCCCTCCTGAGCATCAGTCTCCCTCCCAGCTCTGTCACAGGTTAGGTTACCTTTGTTTCCAGCTCTCGACTTGAGGGGCTGGGTGCCTCCTGGATTTGAATGTCCATCTCGGCAAGGAGCTTCTGGCCCTGGCCAACCTGTGTGCACAGGGCCTCATAGTCCTCAATCAAGCCCAGGATGTGGCTGCCACTCTTGCTGGCCCACAAGTGGTGGCCCGGGACCAGGCGAGACATACTCAAGGCGCTGGTGGCCGAGTTGCCACTGTCACAGGAGAGGGAGTCCATGTCATTTCTAGAGAGTGGAGGACTCTCTGATGCTACAGAATGAGAGGGAAGATGTCAGATCTATTGGGGGCAGCACCCTGCGTTCCATGAGCTGCATTCAACCAGCTAGGGGGGCTGAGAGCGGCCCTCAGTCTGTACATTACCCCACACCGGGCTTATTCATCTTGTGGGAGAAGCTCAATTCCATTCAACCAACACTTAGCAGGTCAGGCACCCACTCTGCAAAGACCCCGATTCACACAGATGAGTCAAGCCAGTGCCTGCACTCCAGGAGCCCATGGTCTAATCAGAACAGACACATGGGAGGTGGAAAAGCACAACGACGAAGAGCCAGGGCTCAGAGTTAAAAATTCTGGCTGGGACACCAGTGAAGTTTGCATTCGTGGTGAGTGGCAGAGAGTGGGACAAGGGCGGTCTGGAAAAGGAGGAAAGTGGGAGCGTGTCTGCAGGAATGTGACCCTCTGTATGAGAGCATGAGGGCAGAGGGATAAGGCCGGACAGAGCCCACTGAGTCTGGCTGCTCCAGGACCTGAAATCCACTCGAGGTGTCCCACACTAATCAAGAGACCCAATGCTGTCACTGAGGTTGGTAATACCAAGGCACCAATTAACTGGCTTGGAGAAGATCACCAGCTAGAGATGCTGACAACACGAAACCCAAATCCTGCCAAACACCCTCTTAAGCTAAGACCAGGGACATCCTTTTCTTCAATTTAAAAGTCCTGCTCTTGCCGGTTTGGGTCCCAGGTTCAAATCCGATCAAGAGCACATGCCAGGGTTGTGAGCTTGATCCCCAGCAGGGGGCGTGCAGGAGGCAGCCGATCAATGATTTCCTCTCATCATTGATGTTTCTATCTCTCCCTCTCCCTTCCTCTCTGAAATCAATAAAAATATTAAAAAATAAAATAAAAATAAAAAGTCCTCTGGCAAATCCGACCCTGCTGTAGTCAACCCAGATGTCGGCTTTGTACCTGATCTCGGGCGCACAGGTGGGGCGGAGTCACGCAGATCACAGGAATTATCAGTTGCCACAGGACATCTGTCGCCATCTACAAAATGCAAAATAAGAGAAGGAAAATGAGCTGTTAAATGTTTTGTCTCACAGACAGAACTGAAAGAGAATATGGTGAAGTATCGGACACATAAGCATTCCTTCATAAGCTCACTGGCTCTCTCCTGCCAAGCCCTGTGCAGACACCGGACAAGAATGAGCAGGCTGCCCCGCTGGGTGGTTCAGGTGGTTGCAGCATCATCCTGTACACCAAAAGGTTGCAGGTTTGATTCCCAGTCAGGGTACGTTCAAGGGCAACCGATCTCTCTTTCTCTCTCTCTCTCTCTCTCTCTCTCTCTCCCAGGAGTGAGGCAGGGCAGTGTGCAGCGAGATCTGCACTTTGGACTGGAGGAGTGAGCCTGGAGGCTGCCGCAGTAACTCAAGCAAGAGAGAAGAGTGACCCAAATAAGGATTTGGGAGGTGACGCATTTCTGAAACAATGTAAGGAGGCAAAATCAATCAGATGCTATACAAGATGATCTGCAACACAAGCAAATGCAACGCAGAACCAGTTTTCAAACCTACTAGGATGCCCGTCAGGTCGTGAAAAGCATTGACAGTCAGGATAAGAGGCTTAAATTCTCTTTTAAAGGCAATAAGGAGGACTAAAAGGGATGTTCAGCAGTGGAGGGACGTGGGCAGGACTAGATGGATGGGAGGCAATGAGGGCAGCTGGCAGCCCAAACCCCACTCCCTGAGAACCAGGAGGCTCCAGACAGAGCTTACACTATTTTGCCAAAGGTGGCAGCTAATTAGTGGTCAGGTCCCCTGGCTCCCAGGGTAGAGCATGTCTGCTGTCACCGGAAAGACACCTCTGTGAGCAAGGGCAGCATCAGGTGCGTGCGTGTCCTGCACAGACACACAGGGCTGCCTTCTCTAACAGGGAGGAGAGGCGGGAGCAGTACCGTGTTTGTCTGGTGGAAGGGGCTGCTCAGGCACGGGCAGGGTTTGGAGTGCCTTCCTCCCGCCCTGCCCCAGCTGCTCCTCGAGCCTGCCCTGCAGCGTGCTGTTGGTATCGATGCTCCTTTCCAGCTGTGCCCGCAGAGCCTGGATCTCGGTCAGGAGGTCATGCAGGTCACCGAGCGGGTCCTGCCCCTTCCAGCCTTCTCCCGACATCTCTCCTCTGGACTCTGAAACATGTGCAGGAGAAGCCTCGACACCTTCTTCCACCAAAGGGTCAGCCATCAAAAGCGCTCGCGTTTTAAACCCGCCACCATCACCCTCCCCTTCCTAAGAACCTAGTACAATTTAAAATAACAACTTGACTTTAAAAACAAAAATATTGGCAGGCCTAATTGCTGCTATTCCACAGGCTAAATAAGAGCTGGAAATTAATTTTCACTTCTGGCCATAAAAGCATAGCAAATTGCACACCAAACCCCGAAATTATGTCTAGTAGTAATAAAATCTATTTGGGTGGAATTATAGAATGAAAGGGGCTGATTTTAAGAGCCACAGTATATTTAAAAAGGCACAACAGCAAGAATAAGAAAAGCAACTCGAAGAGAAAATAAAAGCTGTGACCCTTTTCTAGATAAATTTTCAATAGGGAGAAACCATCTGGAAAATTAGTTTTAAAAAAACCCCACCACACCTCAAAATTGATTCTAAAACATCTGAGTTTACAGTCGAGTCGCTCTGATCTGGAGTCTCTCTCAGGATATAGAGAGGACCAGGGCCAACGACCACCTCTGGAGCAATGGCCACTGTGGAGTGGGTGCTCCCTAAATACTCGCTGAATGAATGAGCAAAAAGAAAACACATAGTAGCAAGAAAATTGTAGTAAAAACCGTATCTTAAGTGCCTACTATGTGCTACATACTGTGTTAGGGTGCATTTAATAAATGACCTCCTATAATGTTCTCAACAACTCTACAGAACAGGTATCAGTGAGCACGCTTTACAGAGGAAGAAACAGGCCCCAAGGGGTGAGACACACTGACGAGAGCCACAGAGCGGGGAGCAAGGCGGTGAAAATCCACACGTCAGCGGCCTGACTCCTGAGCCTCCGTCCTTCCGTGAGTCCTGCGGCTCCTTCAGAGGAAGAGTGGGCCAGAGAGCTTGCTTTGAAATACACCTACCATCCAGGTGAGCTCGGGTGTGATGACAGCCCAAGACACAGAGCCCAAGCCGAGAAAGCCCGGACCAGCGCCCGTACCTCTGGGAATCCCGTGCTGCGCATCCAGCTTCTCATACACCTTCAGCTCCACTCGCAGGGACTGCAGCAGCCTGTTGTTCTGTGAGAGCAGCTCCTGCCTCCATTTCAACCCCTCCTGCACCCTGCGAAGGCCCAGCACCGGGGAGGAGAGGTTATTCTAACTTAGAGTGACTCAGCTGGACCCCACAGGCAGCCAAGTCCACCCTCAGCTGGGAGAGAGGGGACCAGAGTGACAAGCGTGGTTCAGAATTGCAGTCACAGCCCAGCCTTTTCCATACATTATCTCACGTAATCTTCACAGACACAGAAAGGAACCTGCTATCTAATCCTCCACTCAGACGTGAGGAAGTGAAGCCCAGGGGGCACAGCCCGAAGAGGAGCCAGGATGGAAAAGACCACATCCCACCCCGGGTGACGTCAGTCACTCTACAAGAACAAGGCACTCACGCTGCCGACAGGAGAGACTGGAAACATGGGGACAAGACAGAGTCCAAGGGGAAACAGCAAAGAGCAGTTGGCTCATCCCTTTAAAATCTAAGTCAGACTCATGCGGCCCCTCTACGCAGAATCTCCCCAGCTTCCTGTCACTCAGAGTAAAAACCAAAGTCTTGACCACGTGACAAGGTCCTATGTGATCCAGCCTCTAGCCACCTCTGCCCTCCCCCGTACCACAGCCTCTCCCCTCAGCTGCACTGCCTCCCTGCTCTGCCCAGCAGGGGCCAAGGACGCCCTGCCTCCACCCATACCCTTCCCTCCGCCCGTACCCTTCCCTCCCACAGTGATCTTCCACCAGATATCCGCAGAGTTCACACCTCACTGCCCGAATGGCACCTTGGCAGAGGCTTCCCTGACCCGCCCTGCCACAATCAGCCCCCAGGGCCCATCCTGCTTACTGCGAAGACCTCTCTCCATATGTTGTATTCCCACATGACATATTACGTGTTTGGATGTTTACTGTCATACTGTCTGCAGTCCCTGTGCACTAGGGCAGGGGCTGGCATGCCGTCCCGTGGCCACTGCCCAGTACCCGACGCCCACACAGCCGCCAGGCCAGGGGTGCCTGACTACCTGCTGAGCTCGCTGCGGCTGGCACAGAGCTCCTGGCGCAGCTGCTGGTTGTGCTGCTCCCTCTGGCCCGCCTCCTGCTGCAGCCTTTCCTTCTCCCCCTTCACACAGGCAAGCTCCCGCTGGAGCCGCTCAAGGTTCGCAGTCTTCCTGGAGAGGGACTCTCGTAATTTTTCATTCTCCTTCTGTTTATCTGCAAACAAAATGCGCCACTGAGAAGAGACCCCATTTGTTTTTTCCAACCTTATTACGCAAATACAGCACTTGAGTTCGAGCACTCCAAGAATACAAAAGAGAATGAGATTTAATCTGGCATTTATGATTCTGGCACTCCAATTATCTTATGCATTGTGGGCAGATAAATCTGTCAACACCACGGCTGCAGATTAAACGTCACTGGGATGAAATGGGCCTGTTTAATTTTCTATTAAATAATGGGCTGTGCAAACCTAGTGACTTTGCCTTCACAGAGCAAACAGTGGGTAGAAATTAGACAGAGGCAAGAAACAGGCCCCAAATCCTGGCCCTGGGTGTTGGAAAAGTATGCAAGCCTCCCACCAGGCCAGCAGGGCTGTGCCGATGGCGGCCTGGGACCCATCCACTCCTCAGCCCTGAGGACAGCCCTCTCCTGAGGAGGAAGACACACCTCGGGCCCAGCGGCAGTGCTCTTTCTGCTCAGTGACTTTGCCTTCACAGAGCAAACAGTGGGTAGAAATTAGACTGAGGCAAGCCAGTGTGAGGATTACCCAGGGACTGCATGCACAGGGCTTCCCCAGCGCTCCACAGTGCAGGCTGCTGGCAGTGCTGTACCAGCCATCTGCAGGCATCACATTAAGATCTTCACATGTATCATGTTATGTACTCTTCACAGCAAACCTCCAAGGAAGGTACTAGCATTCTCCCGTTTCCCAGACAGGAAAATAAGGAGCAAAGAGGTTAAGACTTTCCCAAGATCACACAGTCAGTAAGTGGCAGAGCCAAGACTCAGACCGGGTTTTCTGATTCCACTCTTACCTATGACACGTGATTTCTCCAGCAAGTGTGCTCCTGCCCCCAACCCCGGCCACACTCAGCCTCGTGTAATTCCCAAGTGGTCTGTACTCGCCCCATCTCTAACCGCTAGGCCTGTTTCCGCTCTCCTTCTTCTACTGAAAAGGCCCTGCTCCTCTAAACCGGAGGCACCTTGGTTAATTCCTACTTATCCTCTAGACCAGCGGTTCTCAACCTGTGGGTCAAGACCCCTTTGGTGGTCAAACGACCCTTTCACAGGGGTTGCCTAAGACCATCGGAAAACACATATATAATTACATATTGTTTTTGTGATTAATCACTATGCTTTAATTATGTTCAATTTGTAACAATGAAAATACATCCTGCATATCAGATATTTACATTATGATTCATAACAGTAGCAAAATTACAGTTATGAAGTAGCAACAAAAATAATTTTATGGTTTGGGGTCACCACAACATGAGGAACTGTATTAAAGGGTCGCTGCATTAGGAAGGTTGAGAACCACTGCTCTAGACTCTGCTTCTGAAGACCAGCTTTCCCTGGCCAGGATGCTGTCTCCAGGATCCTGTAGCTCCGAGTCTGCCTGCATCGTGGCTAGTCCACAGACTGGCCTGCTGTGTCTCCCATCAGACCACGAGGGAAAGGTTCTCAATTCATTTCTGTAACAGCATCCACACAGGCCCTGACATAGAACTGGAGCCAGGAATGTTTGCTGAGTGAATGAATGATCTGCAGAAGCCCGAATTTCATCTCAAACAAAATCAGCATGAATAACCTCTAGGGAAAGTGAAATAAACTGGCCCAAGTTTCAGCTCCACCACCTTCGAGCTCTGTGACCACGGTTCAGTCAATTCCTTAGGCCTGTCTCTTACCTGTGAAACAGGACTAATGACATATCATTCCAGAAACATTTTAAGTATTAAGAGGTAATGTGAGTGAAAGCTCTTGGGGGACTAAGCTCCAAACAGAAGGAATTAAGAGAAGGGATCTTTATAAGAAATACTGGGAAAACTTTCCTGACAGTGGGAAACCTCTGATTGAGATGTGGCAGTAATATACTCCCAGGCCTTCTCTCTCCCACTGGGAACTAAGACAGATGAGAGGTGGCTGGATAGAGGGGATGTGTAACAAGGGCAAAAAGCAACATTTACTGAGCTGAGGGCTTTACAGTATTTAATTGTCACTACAGCCCTGTGAGGTATTCCTGTTTTCCTGGTACAGCAAAGAATAGAGAGATTCAGAAAGGTTAAGTGACCCACCCAAAGCCACAGAGCCACGGGAGGTGAGCCTAGATTGCTCCGAGGGCAGTGCCTGCATTCTTCCCATGCCACAGAAGGCGGTGGGGCTCCAGGCTGCAGGAGACCCCTTTAAGTCTTACCTCTGGATCCTCTGGCAAGCACTGTATTGAGGGCCTGGTTCTGCTTCCTCAGGAAACGAATTTCTGATGTCAGAGAATTATGCAGCTCTGAACCACAAGCAAAACTGTTTGAAGAACCTATAAAAACAAAAATATAGTGATTTATGCAGTCTCAAGGTCAGTAGAGAAGTTTCTAGAAAACAGCTTTAAATAATGAGGAAACATAAGAAAATCACTCTGTGAACTATATATGGTGCTACCAGAGCCCAAAGGGAGATAAGAGTGAGCTTGAAAGAGGAGACAAGAGGGGCTCCCCCACATCCTCAGCATTACAGGAGCCATGCCTTTCTCAAACCTGCTCCCAAGGTGAACACTTGGCAGCAGGGGGAGGCGCAGTCACGTTTATTTCTTTGTCTCTCGGCGGCTGTGACAACATGGTGAGAACAGCATGTCTTTCCACCAGCGTGAATACTTTATGAATGCCTTTTTGTAAACCTTCCTGTCAAAGTGAATTACTCTCCAGAGCAATTGCCTGCTCCATTATAGCTGGTGGCCATTTGAGCCCCCAAATAATTCTATAATTGGATTTGCTAGGGAAATGTAAAACAGAATGAATCTAATTCGGGCATTACCAAGAGCGAACGTGAAGGGCCCAGGCGTGTATTTCTTTCTTGTGTTTGATGTGACTAATAACTCAGATTAATAAATTTCCCTGGGGATGCTGGATGCAGGTGGGAAGGGAGAGAGAGAGAGAGAGAGAGAGAGAGAGAGAGAGAGAGAGAGAGAGAGAGAGAGAGAGAGAGAGAGAGAGAGAGAACACCATTTGGAACCAAACAGCAGCACGCACAGTACTCTGGAAAGATGTCCTTCTGACTGCGACAGGCTGGAGAGTAATGAGAACTGGACTAGGGTCCAAAGATTCAAGTTAAGGAGCTCTGTGCCAGCCGCAGCAAGCTCAGCGAGCTACCACTGAGTACATCTCTGATAAAGATGCAGAGCTTCGTCATCTCATCTCCAAAAATGGAATGACATCAGCATCCCCACCCTTTGCAGAGCGCTGCAAAGTTAAACTGGTAAAGTTACACAATAAATAAAATAAAACTGTAATGATGAAGAAAACCACCATTTATTGAGAGGAGCTTAAGCAAGGCCCCATTCATAACACTGCCTCATTTAATCTGTGACTCTTATAAGATAATTAAGATGGGGAGAGCTGGGGAGATTTGCCCAAAGCCACAAACTAATCAACAGAAGCTCTGGGATCCACACCAGGTAGTCCGGCCCAAACAATCTCCCACTTTCCTGGGGCACAAAGCTGCTCTCAGACACATTCTTCACGAAATGAGGACACAGTCCTTGGAGCAAGAAGAAAAGATGTCCAAAATGTATTGTTTGAAGAAAAAGATGGGACAGAATAATGATACAAAGTATTCTATACCTTCAGGGTAAGAGAGAAATGGAATAAGAATATATATTTGGATTTACATTTAAAAAAACAAACACTGTTTAAGAACACAGAAGAAAACTAGCAGAAATGGGAGCAGAGAAGGGATAATAGGACTGATGGGTACAGAATGGAGGCATCAATTTTTGAATCATAAGAATATCTTACCTATGGAAAAATATTTAAAGATTCTTCATGGAAAAATATCCCATTCAGAGCTAAGTGTGGCTATGCAGCATTATTGGTGACTTTTTGATTAGCATGTGAGATTTACTAGACTGCTAAAATGCTAATATTTTTATAATCCATTATTAAAAAGACAAAATACTGCTTTTTTGGTTTTAAAATACCTATCTATTTCTGTACAGCTTCCAAAGGCAAATGAGGAGCCAACCACAATTCAAGGCGTCTGGGGCGCTGGCAGACTTCTCCAATGGCTGGGAAAGTAACATTTATCAAGTGACTACTACGTAAGGGGCTGTGGGGCTCTCTACTTAAGTTAGCTCATGTAATTCTCATCACAACAGGATAAAATGAAAATTACTATCCCCATTTTATAGAAAAGTGACTAAAACTGAAAGTCAGCAAGGTTAAGTGAGGGCACCCTGGAGGTAAGCAGCAGAGTCAGGGTTTGAACTGAAACCTCTCTGGCCACGAGTCCGATGCTCTTCCCAGTGCACAGAATGCTGATCCAGGCAATGAACACGCACAGACTGGGCTGGCTTGGGAAGGTCCTTCTTACCTTGATCAAACTCAAGCCCTTGCCGTTCCAACTGTCTCCGTAGCTTCTCATTTGTCTTAATAGATTCTTCTAAACGTTGCCTCAAACTTCGAATTTCCTGTATATGTTCCATTAGTAGGTCTACAGGAAGAAGGACAGTTTTTATTTACGGTCTGAAGCCCCTAGCAAAGTGAGTAATTCTAGACTATGCAGTGATCTTGAAATTCCAATGGCACTGGCTGTGCTAAGATAGTCAGCAACTGGCAATTCCTTCCTAGCAGGGGGAGGCTGAGCTGATGCCCACAGCCCACAGACACAGTTCTGTAACGATTCTCTGCAGCCCTCCACGAGAGAGATATTGTACATTGCATGGAAAAATTATATTCCATACAATTTTAATGCTAACTCTCATGCAGCCCTTTATTCTTCTAAATATCAAATATTAATTTAAAATCTTCCTTATGGTGAAACTAACAGATCGCTCTGAAGTCTGCCTGAATTGCCTAAGAGTTGATTAAACTACCTCTATTATGAATCCAGATATTTTCAGGACTAATTCTTTGAAAGGCTTATGTTATCCATTTATCACTTACTAATTTCAGTCTTAAAAACAAAACAATCAATACTCTTGATGTTAGTGAGAATGGTACGATCAAGAATACATCCTGTTAGCATGAGTATAAATGTATATGACTTTTTGGGACTGTTTTTATCATTAACCTTAGAAAGGTTCTTTCCAATGTCTTTTACCAAATAATTCTAATTCTAAGAACTTATTTAAGAGGTCACCAGAGCTGCTGACAACCATTTGCCAGATGCAAGGAAATGTTCTTTTTGACACTGTAGGTAACAGCAAGAACTGAAAATAACTCAAATTATTAAATTGTATTACATGCATTATGATGTAGTATTACACAGCTATTAAAAGTATATTGTGATGACCTTATAGTACCATAGAAAAATATAGATACAAAATGGCTTATCAGTACAATCAAAGCTCTATTTAAAAATTTGCAGACAGGAAAGAGACATACACAAAAGAAGGAAATACACCGAAATATTCACAGAGATTGCCTTTAGGTATAGATTTTTGGTTTTTCAAAACTTCTATATTACATCTTAATATTATATTTAATAATATACAAAAATTTAAACTTCCCACATTTTCTAAAATGAGCATGTCATTTTTTTAGCCTCTGCCACACCTCACTTTAACAAAGAAGGAAGCGTAGCTCCAACCTAGAGGTGGGTTTCCAGAATCAGTGTTTAAAGCACAACCACATTAAGTATCCAAAGAAAAACTAAAGTCTTCAACTCATCAATTAGGGTACACTCCGTATGTCTTAGTAATGTTTACTTTAAAACATTATACTAAAGTTATGACCCAGTTTTAATTCCTCTCACACGACTTTCATTTAAAAGTAGTACAATGTTACCGATCTTTTCCTAATTAAATAGCAATTTCGCCATGAATCTGAATGTTGATGAGATGACTTAATTCCCAAACCCTCAGCTATCTCCTATTAATGCCACCCGTGTGGCAAGCCATTTGCTGGACTGTCTGAGGCCCTCGCTGCAGCCCAGACTGAAGAACGGCCTGTCACAGACTCCCAGCGCGTCACGTCGTCACCGCACCTGCTGCGCCTGCCTCGCTGCCCTGCACACCTTCCAGTGGCTGGTCAGGTCGGAGGGAGCCGGGAGCTTATTGCTCTGACTGCGGCCGTCCTTGCCAGTTCCTCCACGTTGCATGCTGCTGGCTTCTGCGGTAATAATCTCAGCAGCCAGCAGCCCAAGCCATCTTCTGCTGAGTCTGGCCGGGAGCTGGAATCATCACTTGGGCTGAAGGACACATTCCCAGTTGAACTGGACACCACTTGTTAATTATGCAGCCCTCACCAAGGAGAAGGAAACAGTATACTCGCCTTTACAGGTGGGAGAAAAATATCCATCCCTCCACAATAACACCCTTCTGACAAATGCTAACTCTTTAAAACCACAAATCCTGTTTAAAGCAACCACCAAAAACACTGTATACATCTTCTGACTAGTAATTCCAATTTACAGAATCTAGGTTAAGAAATGCCCTTCAATAAGGTGAAAGCTCATGTTCAAAGATATTCCCTACAGCACTGATCAAAATTGTGAGATTTCTGCAATGACTTAAATGTTCTGCAACAGGGAACATAAGAAAACCTGCAGTTCGGCCATTCAGCGGACTAAGCCAAAGCCAGTAAAAATGATGTTCTGTAACATGTTAAAAAGCTTATGATATAATGCTAAGTGAAAAAAAAAAAAAGCACAAAATTCCCTCTCCATTCAGATTATGAATATGACAAAAGGAAAAGACAGATGCAAAGACTAAAATTCTGAAGACAAACCAAGAAAGTGAACAGTAGGTTTGCTCAGGGGTTCCAGTGAGCACCATCCCCATCAGGGGAGTGACTGGGAACCCAGGAGGAGGGCATAAGCTCAAGGTCATGGGTCCTCAGAGGAATCAAAATTAAAGATTCCTGAATGGTTCTACACTGAAAAAAAAACAGAGACTAGAAAAAAGAGGGACAGGCAAGAGGAAAGTAGGAAGTGCCCAGCACCATAGAGGAGGGCTCTGAAGAACAGAATCTTAAGCATTCTGATGTTATGGAGCTGGCTTGCTACATTGGGACCCGGCCCCTCCTGGCCCTCCCACCCTCAGTCAAGTTGGCTCTTCCCACAAAGGCCCACGGTCCTGGGGTTTCTGGGAAAGGGACTGACAGTGCAGGAGTGGTACTGGAGACAAAACAATTCATGGTCTGACCTAAATTAGAAGAAGGTAAATCGTACACAGAAATTGTAGCGGGGTACTGCCAGAAACCCAAAGAAAGCAAATCTAGGGAGCTAGCGACTGGAGGCCCCAGCTGAGACCCGAGTTACATCACGCATGTGTACTTCATGCTCTAGGTATGTTTTCAAACTGTGCTCCTCAGGACCCTGAGTGTCCTAGGGGAGCCTGGGAGGCCACCATGGGGACAAAGCCTCCACTCGGACTTTTTTACATACTGGACCCACATGTAAAGTTTCATCTGGGAAAAAAAAAAAAAAAGCTGGGAGGGGGGAGTGGATGCTTAAAAAAAAAAAAAGGATTTAAAGTTTTTGAAAACCATTTTGCTGTGTAATCAGGTGTCAACAAAGGACCTTAGCAAGGATATGCCCGTGTCTGACTTGTTCTCTGGGTCCACTCTGGGCTCCTTGCAAAGAACCCGCTAGAAGAGAGACCAGAAGAAGTCAGCTGAGGTCCAGAGTCTATACCAGGGGTTAGAAAACTACAGCCCTGGGTCAGATACACCCACCTCTGTCTTGGTGAATAAAGTTTTATTGGAACCCAAACACATCATTTGTTTACAGATTATCTATGGCTGCTTTTTACTGCAATAACAGGATTTAGTAATTGAAACAAAGAGCAAATGCCCCACAAAACTAAAATATTTACTCTCTGGCCTTTTATAGGAAAACAGTGCCAGTCCCTGGTCTATCTGTTCTGGTCTATACTGTTCCTTGAACTTCTGAAATACACTGAATTATAAACACTAAGCCCTACCTAATACCTCAACAGGATGTAACGAAGACTGCAAATACCGAAGAGGTAAAGGGGGGCTTAGGGGCAGGTGGGGCCTCGGGAGGCTGATTCTGCCAACTGAGCCCATGGCTCCACGATCAGAGGCAGGGCAAGGGGCTGACCCGTGGGCCAGGGCTTCCACGAAAGAGAAACACAGCAGACTTACAGAATTACAAAATACCTAACAGGGGTTAGGTGATCTCTGGCATCTGTACAATTCAAAGCAGAAGAGTCTTCCTAGTGCCCTTGCCTTAGGAAGAGTTTGAAAGAAACAAAGGAAATGAACCAGAGTTTCCAGCCTGCCTACTTAGAAGAGCAAGGAAATAGCAAGTCATATAATAAGTCATCATTTAAAAAACAAAAATGGCTTTTCCCCAGTCACCAACACTGTCAACAACCCTAGCTTTCCCCAGTGATAAATGACACTCTGAGTGACCAGCTCTGGCCCACCCAGAATCTCCTTCCCTCAAAGAAATATTCAAATGTCACCACACTCTTGCTTACTACGGCAAGATGACACACTGTTGTTTAAACCAGGAAACCTTGGCTGTGTTTAAAATGCTTCGTAAAGCTTAGCTTACCTTGAGAAAAATTGTTCACCAAAACTGAAGTCCTCTCAGACTCGCTGTCTTGCTTCTGGTCTTGTGAGGAGGAGGACTTTTCAGACATTTCACCATCAGACAACGCGTGAGAGGCTGCAGGCTCAGGAGATTCAGGTAGAATATGTTGGTAGGGTAAGCTGTCTTCCTCAACCCTTGACCATGGGAGTGAGAGAGAAATCTGAGATCCCAAGCCAGGACCATGCCTTCAGAACACGTAAGATTCCTGGGCCCTTTGCTGGGTTGGAGCCCCTTTGCTTCCCTGGAGCATTTTCGGCAAGGACATTCAGAAGACAAAAAGGGCTCGGGGCTTGAGTCTGGAGCAGGGGGAGCACCACCACCTGGCTTGTGGGGGAGAGATCTGAGAGAGGGCATCAGTCCATGGCATACCAGGCTCTGATATGAACTATATTACTTGGTCCTCGCAGAAACCCTGTGAAGTAGGGAGTAGGATTCTCACCTAGAGTTGGGGGGACTGAGCCCCATATAAACTTGCCCGCTGTCTCACAGCTCCCAGGTGATGGGTTCACATTTGAACCCAGGTCTGCCTGCCTTCAAGGCCCCAGGAGAATGAGACCAACCTAAACTCATGAAGTGGCCTTAGGGGTTTAAAAACCTCAAAACCCTTGTGGTCCAATACCTCCATTCTGGCAATCATCTGGTTATTAACCTGTATTTCCCAAGGCAACCTAAGCCATGAGGAAAAACATCCTGAACTCTGTAAAAAGCCCATGTGAATCTCCATTATAGATAAGCTCCGTAATTTAAGCTCCTTTTTTCTCCCACTTTTTCCTATTACTTCTTGTCTCATTATTCATAAACTCAGACAAGAGCAAAGGACTCCAAAACTGCGATGCATTCATTAACAGGTAAACACCAGATGCACCTTTGCTCAGACAGCGTGATGGATGCGTGGGCTTGCCGCTGCCTGGCAAAAGTGCGGAATGGGCCAAGAGCCCCCGTTTAATTAGCTAAGGAGTGGCCCATGTGAGTGCTAAGCCTACAGCTCAAACAGGTAGAACAGAAGGAAAGAAACAAGCCTGTCAGAAACGGAAGGGTGACACATGGTTGAGGAGGCTCCCTGCCTCCCCCTGCCCGTTCTCCAAGAACCACCGTTGCCTTTCAGATGGCAAATCTGATCATGTGTAATGCCAGCTCACCCTCCTTCAAAGACTCCCCTCTTCCTACAGAACACATTTTGGACTCTTAACACAGTATTTGAGGATAAGCCCAACAAGGCCCTGCCTGCCTCTCTAGCCCCAACCTTCACATTTCATACAGCAGCCACACTGCTTAAAGGGGCCACATCTCCCGTGCATCAAGAATGGACACTCTCTCAGCCCTCAATGCTCATCCTTTAGATCTCAGCAGACTGTCTCCGGTCTGGGAGGCCTTCCTTACCCTCCCACAGACTGCCAATGGGGTGTGATCTGTTATTTTAAGGATGGAAGTGGAGGGTTGAACTGGGAATACTGCAGGGGGAGAGGAGTATTTCTTCTAAAGTTACAGAAACACTGATAGAAATGTCCTCCAGTGAGCCCTGATCACCTCCCTGCCTGCTTACTGGTGGCCTTCATGATGCCAAATAAATTCTGCACCCCAGACTGGTCTCTATTTCTTTATTTTACCCCCAGGAGCCCAGAGGGCTGTAGTTCCAAAGAGGAGAGAAGTACTCATAGCCCTGTAGCATTCAGAACCTTTAACAAGAAAACAGAGGAGGGCAAGACCTTGACACTTCCAGTTGCCCGGAGGCAAGCTACGAGAGTATGCAACCCATTTAGTCCGTGAACATTTTCTGAATTCCAACTACATGCCAGATACCTGAGGTTGGAGCAGGTATAAAGGTATTAAAAACACAGTCTTTGCCCTTCAAAGGCAATGTGGAATAATAATAACAGCCCTGGTGTTGGAGTACAACAGGCTCAAGTTCAAATCTCAGCTCTGCTCTTAATGGCAAGTATGCAACTCTGACCCTCAGGCTCCTCATTCAAAAATGAGAATAATAATGCTCACCTTGTAAGGCCAGAACTATTGAAAGTGAATGCCTAGGCAGGGGCTGACACATACCAATACCCAGTTAATGCTAGCTCCTTTCCTCTTTTGAGGAATTTGGGAGTAAGAGATGAATGCGGAAGTATTACAATACCGTGTGCTAAGTTCTGTAATGTAATTATGTGTCAAGTGCTACAGGAAGAACAACTGATCCTGAATGCAGTGGAGAGATGGGGGTGTCAGGAGGAGACAGTTCGTTTCCATGTGAACTGACTGCCATCATGGTCTAGAGCAGCAGTTGCCAACTGGTGGTCCGTGAGGTCTGAAAGGTTGGCAACAGCTGGTCAAGAGAACAACAGTCAGAGAAGCCTGGGATACATGATGGAAAGGAAAGATGGGTCAGACCAAGAAGGGGCTCAAATGGATTTATTCTGCAGGTACCAGGTGCCAACAGGAGAATGTGTCCTCTGGTTCACAGCACCTGGCCGAGTAACCTACTCAACTGGATGAAGGCTGCAGGACACACAGCATGACCCCTTGGTTTAGTGTGGCCATTCTCAGTTTCACAGGTGTTTATGCTTTATTTACAAGAAGCAGAAAACTACCAGGGGGAGGGAGCAGAAATACTAAAAACACCCGCAGACAAACCACACCTGCAGCCCTCTTACCAAACACTACACACTCACCTCTCTATCAGTTCACTCTGGGTACTCATGTCCACTCCTACTGATTTTCCTAGAAGCAGAAATGACATGAAGAAAAACATTTTTAAAAGGTGTTCCCTGATGATTTCTTGCTCACACGTTTGCAGAGACACTATTCCATCTGTTGAATCACTCTTTATAGCAACCCCGGGTATTTAAAGTAGGATTACCAAGAACATGGTTCAGACTAAGACTCCTCATACTGTTCGGGTTCCAGTTCTAGCAAGACTGTGACAGCACTAAAGCTAAAAGCAGTGGCACAGGTGCAGGTTCTCGGGCCTTCTCTAAAACTCTGATACTAGCAGAATACATGCTCTTTATAGGAAACTAGAGGCCCGGTGCATGAGATTCGTGCACTGGGGGGGGAGGAGTCCTCAGCCCAGCCTGTGCCCTCTCGCAGTCCAGGAGCCCTCGGGGGATGTCCGACTGATGGCTTAGGTTCGCTCTGCTCCCCACAGGGACCAGGCCTAAGCAATCAGTCGGACACCCTTAGTGCTGCTGTGGGGACAGGAAAGGCTCCCACCACCGCCGCTGCCGCTGTGCTCACCAGCCTTGAGCCCAGCTCTGGCTGAGCAGCGCTCCCCCTGTGCGAGTGCACTGACTACCAGGGGGCAGCTCCTGTGTTGAGCATCTGTTCTGCTGTTTGGTCGATTTGCATATTAGTCTTTTATTATAAAGGATAGGATGGGTAACAGAATCAAGAAAAAGATCACTGTCCTTCGGGTACCCACTACGCACATGTCACTGAATCCAGTCTCTTCCATTCTTTGTCCATGCATTTTGACATGAGGATAGGATACTGTGACTGTATTTTTCACTTCATACTTATAAGCATTTCTCTTACTAAATGTGCTTTAGAAACATCCTTTTTAATGACCACATTAATATACCATTATAGACATGCACATACAACAATTTTGCCAGTCCCATTTTGACATTTAGGTCATCTCCAATTTTTCACTTTTATAAAAAAATGAAATAAACATCTTTGTGCATGCAGCTTTATCTGCATTTAAATTGTTTCCTAAGGAAAGGCTCTCAGAAGAGGGATTACTAGGGAAAGGAATATATGATTACCGTTGAAAAAGCCAGTGTCTACAACAGGGGGATGACAAAAGAAAACAAAATGAAACAAAGCATAGCTGGGCAAAAGATCCTCCTCTCTCTCCTGCAGGTCCTCATTTGCTGTTTGAAAGGAGGCACCTGAGCCCAGATTTCAAAGAGACTAACAACTTTATTTGAAAAATACTTCAAAACTCTGGAAACTGCAGACTGAGATGAGCTCTTTGAAGAAACTAACGTGTGGCTAAAGAACAAAACAAACCCTTCCATAGCCGAACTTGAAAAATGAGCCTACAATTAAACTACACCCACACACACCATTTTCAAAACGACTCCTAAAGGAGAGTTCACAACACCACAGCCCCAGGAAAAGATCACTAAAGACTCGCACATTTGCTTTCTGTCTGTGGTTCCCACGAATGAACTCGCAAGCTGGCTGGAGGGCTGCCAGGGCTCCCCCTCCACCTGCCATGCCAGCCACTGGGCCGCAGGTCACAGCCCTATACCCTGTGCTTGAAAGTCACCTCCCACTGCAGGGCTCTGTGGGCACCAGAATAAGACAGGCCTGAGCAACCAGGAGCCGGGCCCTGAGGATGGTTCTTTAATAACCACTGATATTAAAGAACAGGCCTCACAACCATCCTCCAGGCCCAGTGTCAGTATCTCCATTTTACAAGTGAAAATCCAGGAGGTCTACTGCTTCCACTCTCTCACTCTGCCCAATGCACACTCTCACCTCCTTTCCTGCAGGTTCCTGTTTAGCAAGGGACACAGAAACATTCCCACACATCTCCACCACACATCCACGTCTCCATCTTCTCGCTTACATCCTGCAATGACATGCTATTTGGGCTCCCGGGAGGGGTTGACTGGCCCCTACCATGGTGGATGCTCCCAAGGGCTCCATCCCTCTGTTCTCCACATTCCTTCTCAAAGAGGGAATCTCTATTTGATTGGGTCAGGTTCCAAGACCAAGG